TTCTTATTTATTAATTTTTTTTACGATTAAAAAAAAAAATAAAATAAAATCCTCCAGTGCCCCAGAAAAATAATGAAAAGTAATAAACAGAAAGGTGGACCTGATGAGCCAGCCAAACAAAACAAAAAGGGTTGAAGAAGCCGGTGCCAGCACCCATGACTAAAGATGAAAAAACCCAACAAACCTGAACCCAAAAGAAAAGCGAAAACAAGACAGCCGGTCCGACCAGGTCAAAACAAAAGGCTAATGGCTAACAAAAGCTACATGGCAGCCCACCCTGCACGATGGCTGACAGGGGCGAGGCCACCCTCAGGGCGCACGGAATCTGGAGCGCGCAAGGTGAGCAGAGCTGAACGGAGGAGGGCGAACGGAGCAGAGAAGCAGAGCAGACAGAGAGAGTCCCATGGACAGACAGCCGTGTTTATAGACTCCACACAGCCACGTAAAATAAACCATAAAAAAAGAGTTAAGCAAAAAATACTAACTGCAAAACTTACTACAAAAAGGAAAATTATTGATGACCCAAATCAATACGCCCACACGTAACAGTGTGTATGTATGTGTGTATGTGTGTGTGTGTGTATGTATGTATGTATGTATGTATATGTGTGTGTATTGAAGACTATATCAAGTAATAAAGTATTGTGAATGCAGCACACGTGTATATTAAACACTGAAATTATATATTTATTTGAATATTACACAATGAGTTAATGCTTAACCACTGAAATGTGATATATGATATGTTTAGAGGTACCACTGTGTGAAAACATGTATATTTTTAAGGTAATCCCTTTGCAGAGATGAAGGTTGTGTACTTTAAGGAAATTCTTTACAGAGCATCTGAAGTGGAGTCGTCTTGACTCGTACCAAGCCAAAATAGACTTAGCTGTAAGTTAATCGTGGCTGTCATCCCTCACAGTAAAGGAAAAGGGAGAAGCTTCAGGGAGGATCCAAGGCGTGTACCTGCTCAATATATATTTGAATATTCATGCTGATGTTTTATATTTCTAGGTTGAGGCAAACACAGGCGTTCAGCTCGCCTGATGTAAGTCCTGTGTAGCTGTAGGCCATCAGGGGCAATGATTTGACCCAGAGCTCTGTGTTTGAATTGTATTGAATAGGGAATAAATTCTTTGTGATTTTAATCGATCAATTCCAGTCGTTATTTTCTCTGATAGGACACGCTAACTGTATGTATGTGTGTGTACGTGTGTGTGTGTGTGTGTGTATGTAGTGTGTGTGTGTATGTGTGTGTGTGTATGTAGTGTGTGTGTGTGTGTATGTATGTGTGTGTGTGTGTGTGTGTGTATGTATGTATGTGTGTGTATGTGTGTGTAGTGTGTGTGTGTATGTATGTGTGTGTGTGTGTGTGTGTATGTAGTGTGTGTGTGTGTAGTGTGTGTGTGTGTGTGTGTGTGTATGTGTATGTGTGTGTGTGTGTATGTGTGTGTGTGTGTGTGTATGTATGTGTATGTATGTGTGTGTGTGTGTAGTGTGTGTGTGTGTATGTATGTGTGTGTGTGTGTATGTGTGTGTGTAGTGTGTGTGATGTGTGTGTGTAGTGTGTGTGATGTGTGTGTGTGTGTGTATGTATGTATGTGTGTGTGTACGTGTGTGTGTGTGTATGTGTGTGTGTGTGTGTGTGTAGTGTGTGTGATGTGTGTGTGTGTATGTGTGTGTGTGTGTGTGTATGTAGTGTGTGTATGTACGTGTGTGTGTGTGTGTGTGTGTGTATGTGTGTGTGTGTGTGTGTATGTGTGTGTGTGTATGTATGTGTGTGTGTGTGTATGTGTGTGTGTGTGTGTGTGTACGTGTGTGTGTGAATGTTTTGTAATGTAAACCTGTGAGTTTTGTATTGTGTCAGTTGTATTGTAAAATGTGGCCATACTGACTTGTTAAAGCCTGATCCTGTCAGATGTCAGAAGCTCAGCAGGACTCAGATGAGGTCACTGGGAAAACCAGGTGCCACAGTCGGGCGCCAGTCACAAAAAACTGCCATTGTGCCCTAAAGCAAGACACTTCACCCACATTGCCTAGTAAGAAAGTGGTGTGCGCGTGAGTGATGGTGGTGGTCAGAGGGGCCGATGGTGCAGATTGGCAGCTGCGCTTCAGTCAGTCTGCCCCAGGGCAACTGTGACTACAATAGTAGTTTACCACCACCGGGTAAGAAGTGAATGAATAATGCTCTGTAAAGTGTCTTTGTGACAAAAGTCTGTGAAACGCACGATATAAATAAAAATGTACTTACTTATTGTACTGTGTATTACTAATGTTTAGTGTTTTTTGGACCCATTGAATATGAGATGTCACACCTCAGGGGCATTCCAATATATAAAGGTGCACTGTGTAACTTTTCTGGAGGGAGGTCCACCGCATGTCTCTGTGGAAATGTTACTGAGTTTAAAATGTTCCTTAATATGCCATTTACTCTTTACGTGTTGCATTTATTTATTCAAGATCATTTTTTATACTGGGTTTCAGATGTCATCACAACATTCTATAGATCAATGATATTAAATACAGATGAGAGCAGGTCAAAGTGCTGATTTTTATGGTAATAAACTGAGTTCTTGGGTCTAGTCACTAACTGGTGGATTTCAGATGACATTGCCACATTCTAAAGGTTAACATTTTCTAATACAGGTGCGGGGACACTAAAATTAATATTGTTAAAATGACAATTTTCCTGGTAATACAGTGAGGTCTTGGGTATAGTCAGAAATATAACTAGAAATACAGTAATAGAAATGATCAGGTTCAACATTTGTGCATTTACATTTGGATATTTCATGTCAAAGAACAATGTGATCAATAGGAAATCTGGGAGTATGACATCATCACATTCTGGAACCTGGAAACCCCCAATAATAAAAATTAAAATAAAATAAACTATTAAAAAGCTCAAAATAATGCTAAGTTGTCGTTGTCAATTTAAACGTCCATTTGCTTTCTTTGTAATACTTGAACTTGAGACATTTACACAAACATTTTAACACATTTCTCACAAATTGGCATAAATATTTTTTTTGTTTTGTTTTTATAATATTGTCAAACAAAATGAAAGTGTGTTATTATTCTAATTATGACTTGGTTTGGTGGTTTGTGGAACAATCTTTCAAATACTTTTCGCCATAGAGACGTTATTGCTTTGTCCGTAATGTGTCACAGTATGGCATTAAACATTTTTATCTCCATGGAGACCAAACCAGACCAAGCTACAGGTCAGATCTGTGGAGAGGCGACCCCGCTCACTGTCAGAATGCTTGTTTTTAGGTATTTCTGAGCTTTTAAAACCACCTGTAATTGAATAAATGTAAGGTAGAGCTGTTTAATGTCATACTGTGGGACATTCCAGACAAAGCAATGACATCTCCATAGCAACAAGCAGGTGACGGATGGACCCTCCACCAGAAAAGTTACACAACGCATCTTTAAACCTTCATTTAACAAAATAAAAGCTGTAATTTAGCTGAAATTCTAAACTTCACCAAAATGGTCAAACTAAAAATAAATAGGCAAAACTTTAAATAAAAGCTTAATTTTAATAAATTTTAATAATAACGTTAACAAAGTTTCAGTGAAGTTGGGAGTCTGAATAAACATTTTTATAATATCATCTAAATATATGAAAATAAAAGTCTGTTTCTGTGTTTACTCACCGAGCATGAGCGAGAGAGGAGACGGCTGCATCCTGTCGACCCTCTGAAACCAAACTGATGATTTTAGACACAAAGAGAGAAAGAAGAGAGAGCGGAGGGGGAGGAAAAGAGAGAGGGAGGGGAAGAGAAGAGAGAGAGAGAGAGAGACAAGGGTGAGGAGAGATGAGGTGGAGAAAGATGGGTTGGTGAGAGAGGAGGAGGAGAAAACGAGAGAAGAGAGGAGGAGGAGAGAGGTGGACAAAGAGGTGGAGGGAGAAAGGGAGGAGGGAAAGGAGGAGAGGAAGGGGAGAGAGGCGAGGTTGGTAGAGAAGAGAGAAAGAAAGGGAGGAGAGAGAGAGAGAAAGCGAAATCAGACACAAAAGGGTTAGACAAAGAGGAGGAGGAGGAAGAACGGGAGGGGGGAGAGAAAAAAGTTAGAGGGCGGGTTGGCAGAAAAGAGAAAGAGAAGAGGGGGGAGAGAGAGAAAGGGGGAGAGAGAGAGGAGCAAGAGAGGAGACAGAGAGAGGAGAGATAGGGGAGAGAGAGAAGAGAAAGAGAGGAGAGAAAGGAGAAAGAGAGAGAGAGAGAGAGAGGAGAGAGAGAGAGGAGAAAGAGAGAGAGAGGAGAAAGAGAGAAGAGAGAGAAAGAGAGAGAGAGAGAGGAGAGAGAGAGGAGAAAGAGAGAGAGAGGAGAAAGAGAGGAGAAAGAGAGAGAGAGAGAAAGAGAGAGAGAGGAGAGAGAGAGGAGAAAGAGAGAGAGAGAAAGAGAGAAGAGAGAGAGAGAGAGAGAGAGAGAGAAAGAGAGAGAGAGAGGAGAGAGAGGAGCAAGAGAGAGAGAGGAGAAAGAAAGAGAGAGGAAACAGAGAGAGAGAGCGAGGAGAGAGGAGCAAGAGAGAGAGGGAGAGAGAGAGGAGCAAGAGAGAGAGGGAGAGAGAGAGGAGACAGAGAGGAGAAAGAGGGAGAGAGAGGAACAAGAGAGGAGACAGAGAGAGAGAGGAAACAGAGAGAGAGAAGAGAAGAGACAGAGAGGAGAAAGAGAGAGGGAGAGAGAGAGAAGACAAATAGAGGAGAGAGAGAGGAAAAGGTAAAGAGAAAGAGGCAGAAAAGAGAGGGAGAGAGAGCCAGAGGGAGAGAGAAGGGAGAAAGAAGAAAGAGAAAAGAAGGAGGAGAAGGAAGAAGAAAGGAGAGGAGAGAAAAGTGAGAGGGTGGATTGACAGAAAAGTCATACGTGTTTCCATCACAAGGGGGCGCCTCTGATCTGCAGTTACTTCATAAGAACAGTGTTTAATACTGAGCACATATTTTAGTACTATTATATTAAAACAAACTGAAGCAACAAAGCATCAGATCACTTTAAATCTTTAATTTAATCTTCTGACAATTTTTGTAGAACGGAAACAGTCGTCTCCTTGTAGACAAACTTTACATTATGTACAAATATTACAAATATACAGCATATTTACAGACAGAAACACATAAATACAAAGTCAGCATTTTTGATTTCAAGCAGCAAACATTTTTATAAAGTTAAAGGTGCATTGTGTGACTTTTCAAGAAGCAGCACAGAAGCACTGAAGGAAACAGGAGTGCATAGAAAGTATAATTAGCGTCAGTTTTAAATTATTATTATTTGATCTTGAATTTCATCATTTCAGTTTCACTTCCTCTCCCAGTTTGAATCATCATCAACAAATCGGAGTCATTTCTCTGTGATTAATTCGTAGACAAAAGGAGTTTCCACATTGGCTTCTGTTATGTCAATAAATATAAAAAGTGCCAGGCTTTTGAACGGCTCTTTGACCTGGACGGATCCAAAAGATTCGGATCCCACAAAGGAGCCGAAAGTCCCATCGCTAGCTTATCTCATGGTCACTCAAGTTCCACAGTACGGCATTAATCAAGTAGGCCTATATCTTGTTGTATTTATTCATTTGTGGTAGTTTTGTGAAGTAAAAACCACACTTCTCTACAGAACTGACCTGTAAGTTGTTTCCATGGAGATAGTTAAATGAAACACCATACTGTAGAACATTCTAGGGAAAAAAAAACAAAAAAACAGTCCGAGTTTAATGCTATGCTACATTTGACCCATCCTGAACCCAACTCCAGATCTTGAGGTAGGAGTCAGGTCAGGACTGACTTAGCTATTGTGCATGTTTTGGTTTGAAGTGGGAAAATCGGTATCCAGCTTGGCGCCACCTAGTGCCTCCACTCAATTCTCTTCATTTCTCTCCAGCAACTAAGTCAGGAATCAGAATACACTAGACCAGGGGTCTCAGACCGCGGCCCAGGGGCCAACTGTGGCCCTCGGAAGGATTTTTTGCGGCCCTACACTTAATTCCAAAGAATAATGTCAGTGCGGCCCGCGGTAGATGTTCGCACAATCCCACCCCCGACCGCGGGCCGCACTGACAGATGAAGCTGCAATCGGTGCCCATGCAGATTCACAACAACAGATTATTAACGCAGCTTACGTCCCAAAACTCAATTTACAGCAGCTGTGAAGCAACGAGTCTAAGTGGATCTGTTAATACAAGTACACGTGCACATACGGCATTTTTTTTCATGCAACTGCTATTTATCGAATACTCAATGCGGCCCAGCCTCACTCAGACTTTATCTAATGTGGCCCCCAGGTAATTTGAGTTTGAGACCCCTGCACTAGACGGTTCGCAAAAACCCCAGAAGTGCGAGTTCGGGCATCAGCCAATCAGAGAAGAATCATATATTCTGTGTTGGCAATGATTCCTGAGATCGAGGATTTAAAGCCGGAAGAGAATGGTGAATTTTATCAAGGGGAAAGACGTTATTGAACTTCTTCCTACGGGATTTGGGAAAAGCTTAATATATATTACATATGTCATGACCAAATAGCAGCAATTGGTTAAAAAAAAAAATAAAAAAATACCCATCTACCATCAAACGAACGAATCCTAAAGCTGCGAGGTCACTTCACTTCAATCAGGCTAGAGCAGGCATGTCCAAACTATGGCCCGTGGGCCAAACGCAGCCCTCAGACAAATTGTTCTTGGCCCTTAGTCTTCCAGGTGAGTTGGCCCAATTTACCTTGCATCAATTAAACATTAACTTTTTACTGCAAGTTTTAGAAAATCTCCCTTGATAAAGCCAATATTTAATATATCGTGTGTGGTTTTAAGGATTTTAGCATGAATAAAGACTGATGGTTCAATCTAATGTGTTGAACACACACATATTTCAATTATTCACTGTATTGAGCACCAGTCTACGGCCCTCGATCAGCCCTCTGCTCTGTCTGTGTTTAGATATGTGGCCCTTGATGAAAAAAGTTTGGCCACCCCTGGGCTAAAGAATCGGAGTAGATTAAGATGAATTCAAATTTTTAGCTTTGAATCTGGCAACCATTCTGCTTTCTGATTGGACAACCAAAACACAAAATTATAACATAAACGTATAACTTGGCCATCATCAGAATAAATAAGCAATTACAATGTTTTCGTCACATTTGAGAAGTTTACAATCAGAATCTTATATACAGCTTGTTTAAAGTGCTAAGAAAGTAAAAAAGAAAATGGCAAGAATAAAGTTTTAAGTCTTGAAACTCCTTGGTACACGTCACAATTAAAGCCATGGCGTGAAACTTCAGGAGATATTAAAATAAAAACAAAAAATATATATATGAAAAAATGAGACTTTTTTATAAAAATTTTGAGATCTTTGCATTTTGAGTTTTGGAGATGCAGACAGACTAATAATAAATGGCTCCTCAAACATGTGTAAATGAAACAAAACTCAAAAACAGACCTGGAGTTGTGTTTTGTTTCACTCACACATGTTTGAGTAATCCTTCATTAGTCCGTCTACATCTACAAAGTTCAAAATTCTCTGGTCCACCTTATATGAGCTCACAAGAGTCAATTTCATTTCTGAACTAAAAAAAATAAAAGGAAGCAAGAAGTGCCAAAAAATGATGCTATAACTTGTATCAAAGTTTTTGGTCAGCTCAGTTATTCCCTTGGTTGCCAGGTTTGTCAACGAAGGGTTACAAGAGGTCCTGTTCAGGGTCTTCTTCAGACAGTTTTCCAAATTTTAAAGACCCAAACGAACGTCGTGGACAGGTTTTTTTTAGTGCTTCCAGTGTCACCGAAATGGAATCTGACGCACTTTTGGACCTCTTCAGTGGGTACTTCGGGGCATGAGGTTTGCTGATGGCGTTAACCTGATTTTGAGTGACGTTTGGGGGAGCTTCTTTAGCCAAAACGAGGTCACTGGCATAAGCATCCTGTCGTGTTAGCTTTGCCTTTTTTCCTTGTTCAAATTTGATCGAATCATTCTTTATTTCGCAAGCTGCTTCATTTGCCTCGCCGTCATCAGTGGAACCAAACAGATCTATCAGGTTGTAGGTTCTGCCATCCTGGTTTGAGTTAACGGAGGTAGTGGCGGAGCAGATCAGGTCCGGCGCTTCGGTCAGAGTGGACTGATTTTGTTCTGGGACCCCTTCTTCTGGGATTGCGATCAGGCACGAGTCTTGTGCTCTTAATAAACTGCGATTTTCAGATGAGCTGCTTGCGGAACTTTCAGTTGTAGACTGACGAACAAGACTTGAATTTTCACCTGAAAAAAACCAAACATATATATTAAAGTATGAATCTTGTGTCCAGGGGTGGCAGACTGTGGGGGTAAAAGGTACAGTTTACCCAGGGCCCACTGCAAGGAGGGGCCCTTCACAGTCTGGAATATACATTTTTCATTAGATAACATGTAGTGTGGGCCCACCAAGATGAGCTCTACCCAGGGTCAAGAATTTGAGGCTAGGCTCCTGCTCATGTCTCTGCTGCCATGACACACTGGGTAAGTTTACAATCCCTGTATCATTCATTTATTCGTTTTTCAATATCAAACCAAAAATAAGAAAAAAAAACAAAAAAAAAATGTTTGTCTTCATTATTTGTCTCCAAAACCAAAATGAAAAAGCAGATAATGATTCTCTTTTTCATTTTTCAATTTTGTGTTTAAATGAATAATGGAAAAAACAGATAACGGCCGTTTCCAGTTTACATGACTTAAACTGTGATGCTGGACTAAACCAGGACTGAAACAAGTCCGGGACCAGACCGGAACCAGACCAGGACTGAGACCGGGACCAGACCAGGACCAGGACTGAGACCGGGAACAGGACCAGGACTGAGACTGTGACTGAGACCAGGACCAGACTGGAACTGAGACCAGGACCGAGGCTGGCACCAGACCGGGACCAGACTGTGATTGAGACCGGGACTGAGACCGAGACCAGACCGGAACCAGGACCAGGACTGAGACCGGGACTGAGACAGGGACTGAGGCCAGGACTGAGGCTGGGACCAGACCAGGACCAGACTGAGACTGAGACCGGGACTGACACCGAGACCAGATCAGGACTGAAAATGGTTTAGTCCTGGTTCAGTCCTGGTTCAGTCCTGGTTTAGTCCTGGTTCAGTCCTGGTTCAGTCCTGGTTTAGTCCTGGTTCAGTCCTGGTTCAGTCCTGGTTCAGTCCTGGTTCAGTCCGGCATCACAGTTTAAGTCACGTAACCGGGAAACGGCCATTATCCATTTTTTCCATTATTCATTTAAACACAAAATGAAAAATGAAAAAAACAAAAAAACAAATGGTTATCAGTTTTTTTCATTTTGGTTTTGGAGACAAATAATGAAGAAAACAATATTTTTTTTCGTTTTCTTATTTTGGGTTTTATATTGAAAAACGAATGAACAACTGATACACGGACTGTTTATCTGGGCAGCAAATATCAGATAATAGAGTAATAGAGTAATCCTGCACAATCTTAAAATGCACAAAAGAAATCAGTTAATCAGTGGATTTTTAGACTAAATGTTGTCTTTGCCACATAACAAAGCTGGTAATGGTAATAATATATGCAAAATAAATAGCAAAAATAACAAAAGTTAATTATAAGGACAATAACATTAAATAAATAATGCACAATGGTATTTTTAAAGGACAAATAAACCAAATCGTATCTATAGGAGCAGTGCAAGAAACACAGATGTTACTCAAATATATAACTCAAATAAGAGTACTGTTACACTGTACAATTATTAGTCAAAAAGGAGTCAAAGTTGGGGTCTGAAAACTACTCTGAGAAGTACGATTTTATTAAAAACTTACTCAAGTAAATGCAACTGAGTACTAAGTAAATGACTTTTGATTTAATTACAATTTATCTTCCAGATTTGTAAACTTACTTGATTTTCTGGGGCGTTTGTGTATCAGAAAAACAAGTCCCGCCATCAAAAGAAAGACGGTCCCTCCAGTTCCTGATGCAGCGTAGATTATGGGAAGCAAGCACGACTCTTTAACAAGCTCTGCAAAATAAAAGCACACTTATGTAAGCTACAGGTGTTATCTGACAACAACTTCACTTTTGTTTTGTTGTTTATTGTTGCATTAAATAAAGGAGATGAGCTAAAGTAGAACATGAGAACAGAAAACAAGTATTCAGGTATAATAGCTGTTTGCGCGTGCACTCTGGTTTAAAATTACAGTGTAGATATCAGAGGTTTATTCAATGAGGAGCAATTGTAAGTACTTAAATAAACTCAAGTCAAAGGTGCATTGTGTCATTTTCTGTCAGAGGACCTGTCAAGCGCTTTTCTCCATGGGGATGTTAATGCTTTGTGTGAAATGTTTCGCAGTATGGTAGGGATGTAACAATAACTGAAGTATCGTGACATCGTATCGTCAAAAGTCTCACAGTAATATCTAGGAGTGTGCAAAAATACTGAAATATCGATATATCGCTTTGTTTAATGTGATGATACAGTATCGATATCGTGGGCTGCTGTATTGACATATCACCAAGAGTATTTTTTGGTCAATTTTAATGAATTATTTTGTTACAGCTACAGTTTTGTTGTTTGAAAGGAAAAGGAAACTCATTTATTCGACACATTTGACATTTTCACTGTTTTGATGATTAAAATATTACTGTTTCATGTGAACTTTGCACAAGAAGTGGCTTAACAAAGACTTTCAGTATCACAGCCATCATTTAGCCTTTATTTTTTATTGAACCGTATCAAATCAATTTCAGATATAAGATATTGAATTGAAAGTGCACTGTATCGAGATATGTATCGTATCATGGCCTATGTATCGATGTATGTATCGTATCGCAAACTTCTTGATGATACCCAGCCCTAATAATATCATGGGTCGTCACAATATATCGAATTACAAGTTCCTTTGCTTAAATGCATGGTTTTATAAGAGCAACAGCTTATGAACATCGGGAACTACATATCCCATGATTCATTTCTGTGCAAACAACATGAAGAAATATGTTTTTTAGTTGAATTCTTGGGATTTTGACGGTAATAATTCACACCAAAATCTTGTCAAGGTATTTTAAAAGCAAAGAAGTGTCCTATCTACACTTTATATCAGCCTCTTCAAAATATCGCAATAAATATCGTACAATGAGATGCATATTGTGATAATATCGTAAAGTGAGATTTGGATATCGTTACATCCCTGCAGTATGGCATTAAACCTTTCTTCATGTTGACCAAATCAAATCAAGTCACAGGTCAGATCTGTGGAGAGGCGACCCCGCTCACAGTCAGAATGCCTGTTTTTCTTTGTATTTTTGAGTCATAAAACCACCTCTAATTGAATAAATGTAAGGTAGAGCTGTTTTTATGTCATATTGTGGAACATTCCAGGCAGAGCAATGACATATCCATAGAAACAAGCAGGTAATGGACCTCCTGACTAAAAAGTTACATAGTGCGTCTTTAAGTTGCTGTAAATTTAATCCATAAATGCTAAAGTAAAACATATTCTACTCTGCTCAACTAGTTTTGAAGAATTCGTCAATTAATAGTCTACAGTCTTGGCTGGATGGAGGTTTCTTAGTACAAAATTAAAATATTATTGTGTAGTATATTATATTATAGTATAGGTCTACAGAACAGAATCTTTTTTCATGTATTTGAGTAAAATGTGACTTGCCCCAGTACAGATATATTGTATAAGCAGCTCTTAACGTCAAAATAAGTCCGTTGTGTACAGTCTGCGTCTATTGTAAACCGTTTTTATTATTCCAAAAGCAGGTAGTGTGCTGTTAGTATGCTGTTTGTTGTGAGCTTTGCCGGTAAACTCCGCTCTGACCTCTGAAGGTTGTGAAAAGCTCTTATAAACTCATCATGGTGAGTAACTAGGTGCTTTGCATAAGGGAAGTGAGGAATAACTGAGCACTGCAACATCTGTAGTGTTGACATGATATTAAAATTTCAAACTCGATTTCAATACCGAAGATTAGACTTGATACACAACACTGATCCCACGATGATAATTAAATAAACACTCTTTCTTTAGACAATAGACTGATTTTCAGAACTTTTTTTTCTATTCCCGTGTGGTCTTATATCTGTGTAATCCCTCAGTGGTCCAGTGGATACTAATTTTAATATCGATTCACAGCTGATTTTCTACTTTTATCTTAGATGAAGTTAGTTTTAGTTAGTCAGTAGCTCATTGGGTGTGTCTTACCTGGGATTAGCATGCACTTTTCTTTGCTTTGGCCAACCTCAGCAAACTCCACTCTGCACACGACACTGAGCACAAAAGAAAACATAAACTGTTAGTGACTCATGGCTTTGGAATCCACTGAAGAACAAAATCAATAAGATAAAAAAAAAAAAAAAAACATGTGATGCCGATTTGACCTTTACAGACGTCTGATGAATATGTATTTTCATGATAAGCCATCTGAAGTACGTACAAGTCAACCAAAAACAAACCACTTCAACTGATCGCTCTCACTGTTGATTTAAAGGTGCTCTGCGTAACTGGTCTGCAGGAAGATAGAAACGCTTAATACTGTGAAACATTCCAGAAAAGCAATAACATCTCCATGGTAACATTGGTGGACCCTCCAGCAGAAAAGCTACACAGTGCACTTTTAAGATGCTTTGAGAAAGTTTCATTTTTATATTTTGTACTTACAGTATGTGTTACTGGTGTTTATGCTGGTAACTGTCAGATTTGTTGATCTGGTTTATGGTTCATATTGCTGTAATTGATGGGTCTACATGGACTCAAAGTTCAGTGTCTTAGTTTAGACCTGGTTTCATGCCAGTTTATAGTAATGCCTCATTTACAGCAAATTGTATCATCTCCGATCCAGGACCCGTGCGTCTCCCGTAACATTAAGATCATTTTAAAGCTATTTAGGAAAGGTTCATTTCTTTAACTTCTTAGGTTCTTTTTAAAGACAATGCAGTAAAGTGTATTTACCTTGTCACCACCAACACCGGTGACAGTTCTGAAGATGGCTTGCAGCTAGCAGCCAAAACATGTCAACAAGGTAAATACACTTTACTGCATTGTCTTTAAAAAGAACCTAAGAAGTTAAAGTATATAAGAAGACATAATGAACATCATTGGCTTAAGGTTCATTTCTGTCCTGTGAATGTGACTGTTTTAGTATCAGTATCTGCTCAAATGAGTATCTAGGTTCGATACTAGTTCTAGTATGGATTTTCTACTTTTAGCTTAGAGGAAGTTGATTTAGCAGTAGCTAAACCAACCATTGGGTGTGTCATGTCAACATGTGAAAATGGATTGACCGCGTCACGTCTCTGATCAGTCTGTGGAAAAATACCCAAGCAGTCTATTTTGCTGATTACCGCAACTCTGTGAATGATTTTGTACCAGTCCTTTATAGACACACAGAAGATAAACATGGAGAAACAGTCCGTTTTTAATGGGACTTTACTGTATCAAGACAGAACCTTTCATTCATTTCATTTCTGGTAGACCAAAAATGGCTATTAGCTCGCCAAAACTTTATTTGTAGGTGTATTTCAGTTTTACCCGCGTCTCTCCTGGACACATTCAGGATTTATCACATTTTGTTTGGTTTTGATTTAATCCTAGCCCTGGTTAAATCCTGACTTAGTTTAGTATCGTTTTAGTCTTAGTCCTGGATTAGTACTGATTTAGTCCTGGTTATATCTTGTTTAATGCTACTTAAATCCTTGTTTAGTCCTGGTTTCATAGTGGTTTAATCCTGGTTTATTCCTGTCTTAGTCTTGGTTTGTTTAGTTCTGATTTAGTCCTGGTTTAGTCATTTATTCTTCCTATTTTAGTCCTAACCTTTAGCCCTAACCGTATTTTGTGTTGCAAACGGGTCAGTCCTTTATCTAAACTCACTTAAGTTCTCAGAGGTCTAGTATGAGTCAAGAATGCCAACACTGTTAATCTTATCAAGTGAAGTGGAAGTCTTAGAACCCAAGTGTGCATATCTTGAGTTCAGAATAAATCCACTGTGTACCATCTGCAACTAATTATAAAGCGTTTATTGTCCAATAATCAGGAAGCACGTGAACTTTCTCGTTGTTGTAAGCTTTACCGTCACAGCAAAACTCTGTTCTGGCCTCTGAGAGTTGTGAAAAGCTCTTGTAAACTCATCATGGCAAATAATTAGATTGCTCTGAATGCATAAGGTGAGCGAGGAATAACTTTAGACCACTGCAAACTGTTTAAAAAAAAAAGTTTCAGTTTTTTTCACGTTTCAAAGACAATAAAAATCACATACAGTGTCTTTAAATAAGGGACTAATTGGAATGAAGTTTTGACATCATGACAACATTTCGTGCTGTGCTTGTGGCAAAACAAACACTAGATACAGGTAGGTACAGATTTTTTTTTTGAAAGCAGCTTTGAGTTCCATTTATTGTGTACAGTAACTCAGTTGGTAGTGTGTTTGTCCACTGATCTGAAGGTTGACATTCGAATCCCGCTGTTGACGTAAAACATCACTGGTTGAGTGGTCGGATTCCAGCGCCCACAGATGAATGCTGGAGCTGTGTCCATGGGTAAGACGCTTAACCCACTTCACCACCAGTAAATGTATGTATGAACAGTGTATGAAAGTGTGTGTGAATGACTGAAGGGGTTTTGTTTCATCCACACCATCAAGGAACCAAACTCCAGGTATGTTTTGTGGAAGTAGCAGCATTATAACGTGACTAAAAGCTCACAAGAGTCAGTCATGCGTAATATAAGGTGTTTAATAAAGTCACTAAAGGCCGTCACACACGCCCGATTTTGGCTGTGATTTGCTTCTCCCTGAATTTGGGGAGGCGTTACCTGAGTCATGTGCAGTGTCAGTGTGACTCTGAGCTAGAGGTGAGATCGGGCCTAAAAAATCCAGCCCGACCCGACCCGGCCCGCGGGTATTAAAACCCGACCCGGCCCGAGCCCGACCAATTAACTTGATTTGCAGGCCCGAGCCCGAAGCAAACCCGAAATGTCATATTTTATTTGTGACTCGGGAGGAGGAGCAGTGCTCAGCGTCGAGGTGCCAGTCTTTTTGCTCTCGTATGAAAGCAAAGCGCCACATTGACGACATTCAGCGAAGCCAACGCAAGTTTCTGTAGCATTTTCAACAATCAATTTGAAGCTTTTCCACACCTCACTCTTACCGGTGCGTGTTTGTCTTTTCAGTTCTCCTGCCTTTAGTTTAACTTCTTGCTCCTCCATATTGGGGACACCAGGTCAAAATAGATGCAGACTTGCGGAGGGGAAGATTATTAAATTAAGAGGGGGCGTTCACGTGCGCAGAGCTCTGGCTCTGCGGATCCTGTTTAGTAGCTAAATAGCAATTACATTACATTACTTCTCTGTTTTATCCATATTATTTATTTTATAACAAGTATTCCTTAGTTTAGTATCCACACATCGTTTTAGCATACATTTTATAAACATATATTTTTTTGAAGCCCGAGCCCGACCCGACCCGAAGTAATGATTGACATTTTAGACCCGGTCGGGTCGGGTCTAAAATGTCAATCGGGCTTGGGCTCGGTCTTAAGATCTTACCTCTACTCTGAGCTGCTCTGTCAGATAGTAACCACCAAACCTCGGTAACAGCCAATAAAACTGAGTATCAGGGACAGATGGACTGACGTACACAGAGGAGCAAGATACAAACTTGGGATGTAGTGAAAATAATCAGAAGACTTTATTTACCTCTCATAAAGTGGTCAATTTAAAGTGCAGCATCTCATCCACATTAAAGGTTGTATGGAGGATTTTTTTTTAGTTTCAAATTGTCAATGAAAGTTTAAAATACCCTTACAGAGATGCAGCAGCCTTGTAATTATGTTGACTAAAAAAAAAAAAAGAATGAAAATCTATCAACTGTGGACGTAATGAGGGCAGATGAACATCAACCAATAGATAACAAGGCTACCTCATTTTCTATTGGCTGTTAGGGTGTCAATCAAACTCCCTGTGTTTCTAGTGTAACTGACTCGCAGGCACACAGGGATTATGTGGTTTATGCAGCTTTTCTTAGAGGCTTTTTCAAACTGTAGCTTCCTCGCAGTTCGTTTGTTTGTTTGTTGAGATGGTGGACGAGAATCCACGACCAGTTTGCCACAAAAGAAAGTCCGTTTTTGAGGTCACTGAAAGAAGAGAGAAGGAGAAAAGGAGCAAAGCCAAACACGTGATTCTTGGAGATCTCTTCCAGCGATTGCACGAATGAAGCAGACAAAGGGTCTAAAAACTGACGCACCGGTCGCTATATTATTTCTAGACAGGTCACTTCAGCAGTAATTCTGAACACGCACTGACTGTAAACAAGCGTGATTTTTAGAGTAAGGATTCGGGAGGAGATGTTTCTACTGAGGGAACTGTGGAGGAGGAAGGTGGTGTCAAGTTCTGTCACTGTATTTCTTTTCCCTTTAAAAAATCCTCTATACAACCTTTGCATTGAAATTATCCGCCGCAAATAATGACATCCAGTCCACAAAACAGTGCTACTAATCCAGCTTGAGGCGTTCTTTGAAAGTAAAAAGGCAAGAGTAGTTCCTCACGTGTGCCTGTTTACATCCACACGGCGCACGGATCGAGGTGAAGCTGCAGAGTAGCGATACTGACTCTACTTTCTGTGTACTTTATCGCCCTTTTATGCTTTAGAAATCATATATCTGAAGTACTGCCCCACATTTCACACATAATAATAACACGGTTTCGACTTGTATCTAAACTAGAAGTGCAGTGCTTTGATCTTTTTAAACACTTCAGAGTCTCAAAGCAAAACTGTAGACAGGAAACAGCCTACGCGATCACACTCACAGACTTTCGCTGCAGTCTTTGCTATCGTAGATTTTAAGTCTCATCAGATTCTCCTCGTGTATGTGGTGCGCGCTGTTTGTCACACATTTAAAATTTGTTTAAGACAGGCAGCCTTTAGTTCTATTTAAAACATCTTTTTTATTACAAGAGCAAAGAGTGACTGCGTAGGAGCGCTCACCTCTTCGCCGTGAGCTTTGCGATGATACTCTGCTCCACTCTGTAACATCCACTGGCATTTTTAGACTTTTGACTTGGGTCCATATTTTCCATCACTGAAACCCCTCCGTCTGCATCGCGAAGCGTGACGCGAAGCATGACCGTTGAACAGGAGTGCACCACACAGCTCGCCTTCACTTCGCCGTCGTCGGACCCAACCACCGACAACTGTGGGTCAGGCAGGTCCTCTGGGGGAGACAGAAGAGGAGAGGTTGGGATGGAACGGTACAAGATCTCGTGAGACGAAATCACACACATTTACGTTAGGATTGGGTATAAAAAGGGTGAGTTACATTCTTTGCAGTTCCAAAAAAATATTACAACGGAAACATAAAAATGAAATCAAAGAATGTGATGCCAAAAGTGGAAACTGAGCCGTGAAATTTATATATTAGGAATCATATTAAAATCTCGTCTGGTCTTGTCTCGTGCCTGTGGACCAAATCTCATATCTCGTTACTTTACAGCAACGTGAGGGTGTGCAGTGTTGGGAAGGTTGACTTTTAAAATGTATTCCCCTACAGATTACAGATTACATACCCCAAAATGTAGTTTATAACGGAATCCATTAAATTACTTAAGGTGAGTAACGTAATCTGAATACTTTGGATTACTTGATTTTCTGTAGAGAAGCAAAGACGAGGATATTGTAACATAAGATGTTTTGTTTGCTAAAAGAAAATAAAAGAGCCCAGACTTTCCTTAACCAAATTAAAAATATTATTGATAGAAGAGGAGGAGACACAGTCCACACAGCAACAACTGTTAGTCCTTTTAAATCCTGTTAAACCCTGTTTTAGTCCTGGTTTAGACCTGGTTTTAGACCTGGTTTAGATCTAGTTTAGATCTAGTTTAGACCTGGTTTCAGTCCTGATTTAGTCCTGGTTTAAATCTATCTTAGATTCAGTTTAGACCTGGTTTTAGTCCTGGTTTAGTCCTGGTTTAGATCTATCTTAGATTCAGTTTAGACCTGGTTTTAGTCCTGGTTTAGTCCTGGTTTAGATCTAGTTTAGATCTAGTTTAGACCTGGTTCAGTCCTGGTTTAGATCTAGTTTAGATTCAGTTTAGACCTGGTTTTAGTCCTGGTTTAGACCTAGTTTAGATCTAGTTTAGACCTGGCTTTAGTCCTGGTTTAGTCCTGGTTTAGACCTGGTTTAGATCTAGTTTAGACCTGGTTTTAGTCCTGGTTTAGTCCTGGTTTAGACCTGGTTTAGATCTAGTTTAGACCTGGTTTAGTCCTGGTTTAGACCTAGTTTAGATCTAGTTTAGACCTGGTTTTAGTCCTGGTTTAGTCCTAGTTTAGATCTAGTTTAGATCTAGTTTAGACCTGGTTTTGTCCTGGTTTAGTCCTGGTTTAGACCTGGTTTAGATCTAGTTTAGACCTGGTTTAGTTTCAAGCAATGAGTGGAATTACAAAAAAAAAAAAAAAAAAAAAAAAAAAAAAAAAAGGGATATAGCCCAAAATGTGAAAACAGGAAAATACCTCCGTGTAATCCATTTATTTCAACAAAGTAACTGTAATCCAATTACCACTCACTGAAACAGTAACTGTAACTGAATACAGTTACTCATAATTTGTACTCTGATTACGTAACTCTGGTACATGTAATCTGTTACTCCCCAACACTGAGGGTGTGTGATGCTAACTGTTCCATTTGAAGCTCTGTTACTCAAGTGAAACTGTAATCTGACCTTTGTTTTAACACAATCAGACCAGAAAGCGCTGATTTAGCACTAACTACAACTGGTGAGATGATTCGTGCTGTTAAACAAGTCTCCCACGCATGTCCCAACTGTTTCATTCACACACGCCACCATGGCAGGCCGTAGGGCGTGTACGGATTCTCACACCTGGGGAAATGAGAACAAAGAAAAACACAAATACAAGCGTGGGATGAGGACACCTTTGATCTGAGAGTAGCAGGAATGGCCTGTGCGGAAAGTTCACTGTGTTTCACTTTTTAGTCATTTTCATCATACTGTATGCTTTTACATGGTCTGGCCTATTGCATACATTTGAGACAGGTAAAATGGAGGCTAAGTGAGGGCTGCAGATGTGACAAACTGCTGCTTTTTGTAGTACTATATTTTTCAGACTGTAAGTCACACTTTTTTCATGATTTGGGTGGTTCTGCGACTTATACTCCGGTGCGACTTATATGTTAAAATTTTCACACTGACAGCCTCGAGAAGACGCTCCAGGCTTGTGTTGTCAGTATCTGCTACTACTATTACTCCTGTGGCACTGTTTCTTCACTGTCTACTGCGCATGTCTCCTACAGAAAGAGGCGCTGTCCTGCTGCAAGTGGTGAAATTTGCAGCTGAAAACAGTAATCGAGCAGCAGAAAGAAAGTTTGGAGTGAGCGAGAAACTTGTGACACCGGGAAGGTACGCCGTGCAACTTTTCTGGAAGTCACTGGATGGATGAACAAAGCCTGGACTTCAGTGACACCAAAACCATCCTGTCGGGATTCAGAAAGGCTGGAGTAATTCTAACTGGAACTGATGCTGAGTCTGACGACAGCGACACAGAAGAGGAAGCGGTGCTCTGTTTACCTCCGGAGGTCGTGGAGTTGCTCAGAAGTGACACAGAGGAAGAAGAATTGAATGGATTTAGTGATTTGGAGTGAGATGGAGAGTTTGTTAAACTTGTTCTGTTGTTTATGTTTATTTATCTGAAGAACTGTTCATGTGTGACGTTAACAGTCTGTTGTTCTCTGTTCTATTGTTTTTACTAGAACTTGACTTTCAAGATGAAATGTCGGTTCCTGGTCTCTGATTTTATAATGCAAATGTGCAACTTACAGTCCAGTGTGACCTGTGACCAGTGTGTTTTTTCTTCTTCATTACACATTTTTTGGCTGGTGCGACTTATACTCCGGAGCGGTTTGTTGTCTGAAAAATACACTGTTTGGTGTTTGATTATGATCTGAAATACATTATACTGTAAGAGCTTCTTTTAAACGATGAGTTGTTTCCAAAGCACCGGTAATAAAAATAAAAAAATAAATACAAAAAATGCGCTTTGAGTTTATTTTCATAGTTTTATAGTTGTGATGGCTTCAGTGAGAATCTACAATGTAAATATTCATGGAAACAAAGAAGAAATGAAAAATTGTGTCGAAACTTTTGACTGGTAGTATATGCTAGAAAAGTACTCTAAAAAGTCAGTTCTTTCTGGTCAGAATGTGCTAAAATAAAACTAAAAATATTAAAGTCTAATTCGAGTAACAGAGCGTCAGACTGAGCAGTGCCTGCAGTTAGCTTCACACCCTCAGGGAATATTGATGACTTGCTGCAAAGTATCTGTGATAAAATGTTGGAATGTCATCTGAAACAATTCTAAAAATGCACCTGGGAGGGCATTTGATGTATGTAAAACTACGTCAAGGTATGTCAGCTATGTTCTCTAAGTTTGCCTTTTCACCATGAGTCTGCACAAACTTGCCCTGGTCCCGTACATTCCTCGACCTCTTGGAAACTCTTTGTGTTCCTCTGAAACTGCCACACCTCAAACAGCAGCAGCTCGCCTCAGCCGCTTTAAAGTCCCGTCAGGATATGCAGGGGTTTTATGGTACTTCCCACAATCAGCATTCATAACTTAAAGGTGCATTGCGCAGCTTTTCCGGTGGAGGGTCTGTCACCTGCTTGTCTCCACGGAGATGTTGTTGCTTTGTCAGTAGAGATTAAACAAGAATCAAGACAGACAACTACAGGCTATACTACAGGTCAGATCTGCGGAGCGGCAACCCTATTCACAGACAGAATCATTGCATTTTTGAGCAATAGAGCAATAAATATAGTATATATATAGAAAGAGACGTGTTTAATGTTATACTATGGAACATTTCAAGAAAAGCAGCAACATCTCCATGGACACAAGCAGGTGACAGACCCTCCACCAGAAAAGTTGCGCAATGCACCTTTAAAGGGCCCATATTACGCTATTTTCTGATCTATGTTATGGACCTGGAGTTGTGTTTTGTTTCATTCATACATGTTTAACACACAAACCCTGCATATTTTGAGTGCTCCACTGTGTTTTTAAACTCCATACATCTTCACTAGAGTCATCTGGATAATTTCAGCTCTGGAATTGGCAATCTCCACTGAATTAAAAGGTAAAAGGTCGCTGTTACCTAGAAAATCACCACTACTCTACTGGTCAAAAGTTTTAGAACGTCACACTTTTTCCAGTTTTTGACTGTTTAGAATATGTTTTGGTCAACAATAAACAGTAGGGATGTAACGATATCCAAATCTCTCAGTACGATATTATCACAGAACGATATTTATTGCGATATTTTGAAGAGGCTGATATAAGTGTAGATAGGACACTTTTTTGCTTTTAAAATACTTGACAAGATTTTGGTGTGAATTATTTCCATCCATAATCCCAAGAATTCAAGTAAAAAACAGATTTCTTCATGTTGTCTGCACTGAAATGAATCATGGGATATGTAGTTCCCGATGTTCATAAGCTGTTGCTACTATAAAACCATGCATTTAAGCAAAGGAACTTGTGATTCGATGTATTGTGACAGCCCACGATATTATTGTGAGACTTTCGACGATACGATATCATGATATTTTGGTTATTTTTACATCCCTAGTAAACAGTAAACTTTTGATTCATGAAAGTGTCCTCCTTTGGCAGATAGAACAGCTTTACAATAGAAATCAAATATTCTTCAGAAAGTTCTTCCCAATTCTGTTGCAGAAGTTCTCATAAATGTGTGGCACTTGTAGGTTGCTTTTCTTTCACTCTTCTGTCCACTTCATCCAAAACTAGCACGATGGGGTTTAAGTTTGGACACTGTGCCGGACACTCCATGTTTTCAAGCTTTACCATCTTGTTCTTTTTTCCTGAGGTAGTTTTGGCAGAGTTTGGACTTGTGTTTTGTTAACTTTTATCTTCTTCTTTGGATTTGCATGACTTGAATCGCAATAAAGAACTGGAAAAATTAGGGTGTTCTAAAACTTTTGACCGGTAGTGTGCATGACATCACAAGGTGGAACTGAGAATTTTCAGCTTTGAAGACATAAACAGACGTCATTATAAAGGATTACTGAATGAAACAAAATTCTCTCGTCCTTACTAATCGGAGTTTGTAAAGCCGCATTTCTCCACCTCAAAAGTTCAAACAAAGCCACACCACAACAGAAACTATTTAGTGCATGTGATCCTGGATTATAAAGGCAGAACATGGGAGTATGGGATTTCCAAAACAAAAGGTAGGTCCAAAAAGGTATGAACGCCATTTTCCTCCAGTGGTTTTCGCCCAATAATAAAATGTTTACACTGCAGAAACTAAACTCTAGCCAAGTTAAAAGTACATTGTGCAGCTTTTCCGGTGGAGGGTCCGACAAATGCTTTTCTTCATGAAGATGTTATTGCTTTGTCTGGAATGTTCCACAGTATTAAACTTTTCTTTCTTGATGGAGACCAAACCAGACCAAGTTACAGGTCAGATCTGTGGAGAGGAAACCCCGCTCACAGTCAGAACACCTGTTTTTCTAGGTATATTTAAGCTATAAAACCACCTGTAATTGAAAAAAAAAAGTAAAGTAGAGCTGTTTAATGCCATACTGTGGAACATTCCAGGCAAAGCAATGACATATCCATAGAAACAAGAAGGTGACGGATGGACTAACAACCAAAGATGACTTGAATTAAGAAAGTTTGATCCTGATTTCAGTAAATTTCCCTTGACAAGTAAAGTGATCTACCAATGGAACAAGACTTTTTGCATTTAAAATATGAAAATACATCTTGCTACACTTAAGATAAGAAAAACAACTCTTTGCACTTAAAATAAGAAACAAAATTTAATGTTGCTTGACTTGAGAAAAACCATGCTTGTTCCATTGGTAGATCACTTTACTTGTCAAGTTAAATCTACTCAAATAAGTCAAATGTTCTCGAATTAAGGTCATTTTAACATACCTACATATTACAGAGATAAACTATTTGCAGCGTAATACAATGTGATCAGACTAAAATGATTCTTGGAAGTGGAAAAGCTGGTACAGTTTTAGGGCCTTATGAGTCAAACCGGAAACAGAAAAGCGTTATATAACTGTAATTTCCTTAACGTAAATTATTCTGCAATTCTGAATCCAGTTGGTTTAACCGTAAAATGACTCACTCTGATCTGAATGGTCTCTACCTAAACCCCAGCACGTGCTTGTATGTGTCCTCTGTCTGGAGGTTAAAGTCCAACCCATGTTCAGTTTCTTAAACAGAGTGTAGGTTGAATACGACACATGTAGCTCACCGAGTTTCCTTGTAGAGGAATGTGCCGGTGTGACGTTTTTATGTAGGTGAAAGGTTATTAAATTGTTCTTAATGAGAGTAACTGTCATTGACTGAACAAAAAGGCCTGGTCAGTATTGCTTCATTCACAAGTTGGAGCACACACGCCTATCACCCACGCACCCGCCCGGAAATACACTACCGGTCATAAGTTTTAGAACACCCTAATTTTTCCAGTTTTTTATTGTCGTGCAAGTCCAATGAGGAGCTTGAAATGGTACAAAGGTAAGAACTAAAGAGCCAGAGGTTAAATAAAAAGATAAAAGATAACAAAACACAAGTCCAAGCTTTGCCAAATCTACCTCAGGGAAAAAAACAAAACAAAAACAAGATGGTAAAGCTTGAAAATATGGAGTGTCCAGCAGAGTCTCCAGACATCGAGCTGGTTTGGGATGAAGTGGACAGAAGAGTGAAAGAAAAGCAACCTACAAGTGCCACACATTTATGAGAACTTTTGCAACTGATTTGGGAAGAACTTTCTGAAGAATATTTGATTTCTGTTGTAAAAAGAACGAGCCACGAGTGTGTTCAGCTGTTGTATCTGTCAAAGGAGGACACTTTCATGAATCAAAAGTTTACTGTTTACTAGGGACATAAAAATAACTGAAATATTGTGATATCGTATCGTCGAAAGTCTCACAATAATATCGTGGGCTGTCACAATACATCGAATCACAAGTTCCTTTGCTTAAATGCATGGTTTTATAGTAGCAACAGCTTATAAACATAGGGAACTACATTTCCCATGATTCATTTCAGTGCAGACAACATGAAGAAATCTGTTTTTTACTTGAATTCTTGGGATTATGGATGGAAATAATTCACACCAAAATCTTGTCAAGGTATTGTAAAAGCAAAAAAGTGTCCTATCTACACTTATATCAGCCTCTTCAAAATATCGCAATAAATATCGTTCTGTGAGATGCATATCGTGATAATATCGTACTGAGAGATTTGGATATCGTTACATCCCTACTGTTTATTGTTGACCAAAACATATTCTAAACAGTCAAAAACTGGAAAAAGTGTGGCGTTCTAAAACTTTTGACCGGTAGAGTAGTTCATAAAACCGGGATACAACTAAATACACTACAACTTCACAAACCTGTTGCGATGTGCATTTCAGTAATCTTTTTTTTTTAGTCTATTTACTTCTCCAAAGCTCAAAATGCTCTGTTCTACCTTGTGATGTCTAGAAGTAGTAGTTTTCAAGTTAACAGCTCCTTTTATGTTTTACTTTTGAGAGAAGAACCTAAATATACAGGGCTTGTGTGTTAAACAAGAAACAAAACACAACTATGGTAGTATGTTTTTGATGAGGTCACATTATGACATAAATCCAAAAATAGTGTAATATGGGCCCTTTGACACTGCCCCATACAAGTGTAATCCCCTTTTATAAAATATCCAAACATTTAGAAGATTATTTACCTACGACGAGCTCCACCCGTTTGATATCTTGTTTGTTTTTGTCCCAAATGGTTTTACAGAGATATATCCCGGCGTCTTCCAGCCTCACGTTGGACAGCCTCATGGAGAAGTTCCCGTGTTGCAACTTTGTTATGAAAAGGTGCGTACGGAACTCAAAATCTCTGTGCTTTTCTGCGTAAACCTCAAAGTTCTGGCGGTACACGTAGACGTAGGGCGTAGGTGAGAGGTTGAGTTTGGACCATTCAATCGTGGGGACCTCAGAGCCTTCGGTCAGAGTCTGAGTACAGGGCAAGACCACGGGCAGACCAGTGAAGGCAGTCACCTGCTCTGGAGGTTCATCCATCGCCAATCCTCCAAGAACTGGAAAATAAGAAACAGTAAATGTGATTTTTAAACCCATTGGATTATTATTTTATCATTTGGACATTTAAAACAACTAAATAAATTAAAAAATTCCACTGGGACAGAGCAGTGGCAGTGCACCATCTCACTGCTCTGTCCACAAATACAACTGTAAAGCTTTACTCTGCTTTACCCATATGCATGGAACATGTTTGGGTGTGAACTGCAGCTCCGCCATCTTTGTCCTTTCTCCCTCTTTAGATATAGAAAGGATAGTTTCATATAGTTGTTCCCACGCAGTTGTCCTCACTCTCTCCCCTCATAGTGTCTTCACTGTTGAAAATGCACCAAGGAATCATGTGTCTGGAATCATGTTCCTGAGTGACAAAAGTTAGGAGCTTCTGTATTGGGTGTTGCCCAACAAAATATTTAGTAAAATACATCATATTTTCAGTCTCATTTTTCCTCCATTATCTGAATTTACAATACACTGCATAAAAGGCCTTTTATCTCAACCTGTAAACTTTATGGAGCTCAACAATCTCGCTCACTTCAAAGTCATCTCTGGTTCCAGAAGTTAAATTTCAATTCATATTTTCTATATTTTCCTTTAAGAAAAAAAAATTATATTAAGAGTTCAAAGACATCAAGGAGGCTAAGCAGCTATGTGCTATCTACCATCCATAACATGATGGTTTTAACATTCTGTGAAATTATTTAATGATGGTTAATAAAGTCCCCGCGGGCACCAGGTCACCCCCAAGGACTACAAGTCACCTGCAGGCCGGTTCTAAAAATAGCACAAAGTGAGCTGCATCTAAAATTTTATTTTAATTCTGTTACTATTCTTTTTTTAATCACCTTTGTATTTATATTGATTTAAAAATGATAATATCTTAAAAACATGTTCATTATACATGAAGCTTAGAGACTTACAGTTTATGCAAATGAGCCATGCGGATTTAAGTTTCATTTCTGTAAAACGTAAACAAATGTGGCAAAACTGCATTAAATACATTATAATCTCAAATGGACTGATGTGGCTCTGTAGTAGTGATGGTTTATATGTTGTAAAGTTGAATTTATTTATGCAGAAGATTTGAATGAATAATCTGCTGCAGTGTAGAACTTGTACAATAATGTGTGGAAACGTGGATCTGTGCAGTGGATTGTGGGATACCTCACAACTCCTTACCACTGGTTAGGAACCTCCTGAGCTTCCTGTGCTAAAGGAGCTGGATGGTTGTTTGTATTTTTCCTGGTTTATTAAATATGTAATTTTTGCACTTGCGCATTTGTAATATTATGTCAAGAAACCGCGATACTGCATTTATAACCAGGATACTGATGTGCATGTAAACACACTCAGAGAGACAATGATGGTAATTGTAACGCTGTACTTAAAAATGTAACAATTACTGAGGTTAATAAAGTTAAAGTGCTGAATATTGATATCTGTCTTTGCTCTGCTGTCATTGTTGATAATTATTGTGAGAAAGCATTAAAGTGATCATTGTCTTCACAGAGATGATTATCATTAATCATTATTAATAATGTAGAACTAAAGGCAAACTGAGCACATTTGGTATTTCACAAGAGTGTATCAAGCTTCGTATGACTCAGCACCCATGAAGTAGCTCTCACTTTCTAAAAGGTTGGTGACCTCTGTTTTAGATAAATCTTGTGGTCATTAGTAACTGATTAGCCCTGAGCTTTCAAACTTGGAATGTTGATTTTTTATTTTTTATTTATTTTTTTAGATCGTCTACGAGAAAAATGAATGGAAAATTGAGTTCATGCTCATACGCTCGAGTGACAGACCCACACAAACAAGAATCACAGTCCAACGGTCAGTAGTGTAGTCATTCCCTTTCCTTTCTCCACCCACTTTCAACTTCTCCCAGACAATCCCTCCGTCCCTCTGTCACTCTCTGTCTTCCTCTCTCAGACACTCCCTCACTTATTCTCTCTTCCTCTTCCACCCACTTCAAGTCTTTTGTCTATTCTATCTACATTCCATGCCCTATTTCCTCTACAGAAGTAGTACTAGTATCTGCATTAGGCGTGGTACTAGTACTAGGTGGTAGTAGTAGTCAGTAGTAGTTAGTAGAAGTTAGTAGTAGTTAGTAGTAGTAGTAGTACTTACATCACTTTAAATGCTGAAGCGTGCAGTGTTTTGGGTTGGGTGTGTCATCATGTGAGGGGTTTATGTTTCACTAGGACAAAAACAAGTCCCATTTTCACCACAAAAGCTTCTGTGGTAACATTAGAGTATTCTGAGAACACATTATTCACACACATTTACTATCAGAGCTGCTGGTGCTATTATCCATACTACAACTGTTACTATTACTAATACTACAACATGCACTGCTACTACTACCACTACTACTATTCTGCAATACTTCTACATTCTGTTTAAATCGGACCATAGAGCGTAAAAAACCTCTGTCCGAACTTGAGATGATCCAACCACAGCTGCTAATTTGAAACAAAATATAAAACTTTTACACGCTAAAAACAATATCTACACAAGTTCAAATGACTTCAATTGAGAGCACCTTGACAAGTAAAATGATCTACCAATGGAATAAGTGTGTTTTACTTAATTCAAGCAACATTTGGTTTTGTTTCTTATTTTAAGTGCAAAGAGTTGTTGTGTTTCTTATCATAAAGGTGCATTGTGCAACTTTTCTGGTGGAGAGTCCGTCAAACGCTTTTCTCTGTGGGGATGTTATTGCTTTGCCTGGAATGTTTCACAGTATGGCCTTTGTAACCCTTTCTGTCTTAATGGAGATCAAACCAGGCCAAGTTACAGGTCAGATCTGTGGAGAGGAAACCCGGCGCACAGTCAGAATGCCTGTTTTTCTTGGTATTTTTGAGCTACAAAACCACCTGTAATTGAATAAATGTAAGGTAGAGCTGTTTAATGTCACACTGTGGAACATTCTAGATAGAGCAATGACATATCCATGGAAACAAGCAGGTGATGGACCCCCAACCAAAAAGTTACATACTGCACCTTTGAGTATAGATATTTTCATATTTTAAGCCAATCAGCGAAGAGCCGTACATTCTGTGTTGGCAGCGATTTCCAAGATTGAGGATTTAAAGCCAGAACAAAGAGAATGTTTGGTGAATTTTATCAAGGGGAAAGACGTTATTGCCCTTCTTCCGACAGGATTTGGGAAAAGCTTAATATACCAGTTAGCCCCGTTAGCGGCGCATCACAACCAAATAGCAGCGACTGGTTAAATAAAAAAAGTATCCACCTACCATCGGGCGAACGAAATCTAATGATACTCTTAATGGTTTCCACGAAATGAAACCGGCTGATGAATCAGGCTAAAATTTACTCAAAATCATGATGAAACTTTCTTATTTCAAGTAATCTTAAAGTTTGGTGCTTCAGTTGTTGATTCTGTAAAAATCCTCTCTTCTCATTCTTTTTTCCTTTCTTATTTTTACATGTAAGCAGTTGTGTTTGCTTCAACACGAACAGAGCACGCCTTTCTGATTGGTTAATCCACCTGTCAATCACACTCATCTGAAATCTGTGACATATTTGCATGAAGTTTTGTCTAAGCGTGTGGTTCTGGTTGGACAAGGAAAGTACTATTACTAATACTACAAGTGACTGTGTAAGCTCTTGAGTCATCTGGTAGGTTCCGCTGCAAAAGTATGTTTATTCTGTTTAACCAGGTTTAACCCCAGCGTAGCAGTAGTTTTCCATGTAGTGTACTTTGACTCTTAGACAGAATATTTCAAATTACAACACATGCTACTGCACTTTCTTTGTATTGTGGAAAATTACCATACTGCTACTGCTACTATAACTACTACTACTACTGCTGCTTTAAACAACTACAACTGCTGCTGCTACTACTTTTATATTTAGTTTTATTCACAATCCTTTATGATTATAATGTCCACATCTCTAAAGCTTAAAATGCTCTGTTCCACCTTGTGATGTCATGTAGTATTAGTTTTCAAGCTACTTTTAACTTTAGTTGGGTAAAGGATGGCAATTTCAGGGCTGAAATGATCCACATTATTCTAGTAAAGGTGTATGGAGTTTAAAAACACAGTGGAGCACGTCCTGTATTACCACGACATCACAAGGTGGAACAGAGTGTTGTTTTTTGTTTGTTTGTTTTAGAGGAAAAACTCAGCCTAAATCTGCAGGGTTTGTGTGTTAAGGGTGTGTGTATGAAACAAAACACAACTCCAGGTCTGTTTCTGATGCGGAAACATAAACATAAACTAGAAAAGCACTCAGAGAGCGCAGACCTCCGCCAAGGACTACAGTCCCCCTCATATTAATTGTGTTTTCCATAAATATTTGTCTCGTATCTTTCAATTTGGAATATGAAAGAAGATCCCATTGTCCATCCCTGAGTCAAATTTCATGGGGTTTGGTCAATAATTAACCGAGATACTGAGAAACAAAATGTTTGGCCCCATTTACCACAATGTTAACTAAAATTTCAAAGTGATCCAGAATCCAGGATTTCTTCCGGATCAACCCCAAAATGAAATCAGTTCTTCCTTTTCACATTTCCAACAAATCCTGAAAATTTCATCAAAATCGGTCCATAACTTTTTGAGTTATGTTGCTAACAGACAAACAAACAAAACATAAAACAAAAACATAACCTCCTTGGCGGAGGTAAAAATAAATAATATTGTGTAATAGGGGGCATTTAAAGTTCAAATTATAGTTTTTGATGATGATGAAGGAAATATTTGTTGATGAGGGTGAAAACTCTGGCGTAAGTAAATCGACGCTCATTGACGTCAAAGCAACAAGGGAAAACACAGATTACAGATGAAACCAAGACAGCAGGGTGCGGTAGTAGTTGTTGTTGTTGTTGTAGAAGTGGAAGTAATATATTGCATTGCTACATTTGATCATACAGTATTGATATTGATAGCAGAGTACCGTATTTTCCACACTATTAGGAGGATTATAAGGCGCACTGTCACTGAATGGTCTATTTTCAAACTTTTTTCACAAA